ATATAATTTTCAGTTCACTGAACAGCTACCCAGAAGGTTAAAGAAACAGGTTGCCATACCTGGTATTTAATATTTTACTGCCATCCTGTTAACCAGAAAGCACTCTTTTTATAGTTTATACTTTTGTATATTCTCTTCTATTAACTCCTTTCACACCAGAAATATAAATGCACAAGTTTGATGACCTTATTCCAAAATTCAGTTTAACCTGCTAATAATTCATGCCATATATCAAGTATATAACTCTATACAAACAAGGAGGACAGAAGTAACATTATGACAGACTGAACATAATAAACATTAAAATATTTCTGTGCAAATTCTTTACACAGTTCTACTGAGTATTACATTATCAATGATTGATATTTCTGATAAACATACTTCTAAAATATACTGTATTTACTTGCAAATAAGACCCCATTTGGGAGGGGGCTACAAAATTTGGTTGCGCCTTACAATCAGGCACTTTGATAAATGACATTTCAGAATGAGCAGGCAACAATGCATCACAAAAAATGTTTTTGAGACGAAGTTTATCATGTTATTATTTACAGGAAATTCTAAAGGAAGGGGGTGACAAAGATTTGAGAGCTACTGCAAGACAAAATAATTATCCACTTATATATTTTCCTCTACAATCAATCCCAGAATGAAAGGTGGGTATTATATTCTGGGGGGGGTCTTATCTTCCGAGTTAATACAGTATATGAAGACAAAATAGTGTACTTTTATTAGCATATGGAATCTAATCCTATTTATATGATTTCTTAATTTTAAAAACAAGGTTTTCTTTTCTCAGGAACTTTGCCACGCAGAAGCTTCCTGCAATTCATTATGATAAAGTAAGGTCTAAACAGCTTTATAAAGAAGTTTTCCTAAATGAAACTAAGAGTTTGTATTTACACAATACAAGGAAAAATATCACAAATAAAACTGTATGCAGTAGCTCTAAAAGAAATTAGTGTTCAATGCTGTTTTTCCCTCTCATCATTGGTACACAAAAATAATGAAAATACAAGCTAGCCATATTTTTAACATGAAAATATTATAATAGAAATGTCTTCAAAGTTTATTTTTTACAGTGTATATATATATATATATATATTAACAAATGCCTCAAATAAATATATGAAAAATCTGTAATGCAAAAATTCATTACTGATGACATATTTCCAAACAGCACTTTATAGTGACTGAAATTGTGCAATTCAAAAGTATATTATAGCTAATTGCATATGTAATCATAACATAAAATAAAGACAGCAGATGGTATAGTGATTGCATGAAGAACAGGTTTTCTTTAATATCACTATTGTAGAGAATATTAACAATAAATACTTTACCTTTTCATAAAATTTCAACAATTTGAAAATTCAAAGAGCAAATTTCTGATAAACATCTTTTTTATTCAAGCTAACTTTTATCCTTAGTATCTCACACAGTCCAAAAGAAACTCATAAAGGTTCTTTTGGATGATGATTAACTAACAACTAAATGATGCTGATTCGATAAAAATTTGGGCTCATAAGATGCTACATTAAAAAGGGGGGATGATACGAGTTATTAAATTAGCAACATTACATTTGTTTTTAAAATAGTTAATCTGAGAGCTTATAAATCACATCAATGATTTATTTTTTGTGCTCAGCTAATACAAAGGTACCAAATTTTGCATTAAAAGTTTTCATTAAATAAATCACTTTTAATTTAATTGGAAGTGAAACTTAAATTATAAAATTTAAAATTAGGTTAAAAACAGCAACCTTCGATTGGTACAGATTCAAATAAAACTCTACTGATTTCAAAGGTGATCACACATAGATCCATCTTTATCAACAGCAAAAAGATTTTCGCTACTTATCACTTTTAATTATACAACTTAATTGTATATTATATTGCTTTCATAAAATAATAATTCACTTCTTTTCACTAAATAAATCACTTTTGTGAGTTATATGATCATATAAGGTATTTTCTTCCTCCTTCCAGCATTCTTTCATGGTGTAATGGCAGTACACTTGACCACGTATTCATGGTGTAATGGCAGTACACTTGACCACGTATTCAAGAGGTCCAGGTTCGTGCCATAGAGAGGGCACTGCTCATTTTTCCTATCTCCTGCCTCAAAATAACCTAATATTTTTACAAGCATAACTTAACCTAATAAACCACTAAACAAATGACAATTTTTTTTCCAATAATGATCAGATTTTATGACCCCCATCTTATTTTAATCAGTGCAGGCTAAGAACTTCTTTTTGGCAATTGTTACCATCACATTGCTAGCAAAATTTTGAAAATATTTGTCCTTTATTGTAAAAATAGAGTTCATTTTTAAGCTTTAATCTAACATTCATTTGTAAGTCCTTTCTCTCTCCCTCTTCTGTTTTAAATTTGGTAAGTCCATTCCTTTCAAAAGAAAACTGAAGTTTTTGTTTTGATGACCTCATATAAACTGAGATTTTTGCTTAAATCATTTTGTTTAGTTGTAGAGGTTTAACTATAAGCATTTAACCAGTTTTAAAAGCTTCCAGAAACAATAATCCTTCACTTCATCTGATGTAGGTGAAATAGTAATTAGCCCTGCTGGGGTTTTGAAACTTTTATGGCTGACTGATTTAGTAAGAAAAAATAAGATTCACAAAATAAAATTACAATATTTGACTTAAATTTAGATACATTTAAAATTTAATTTTTCATCATTTCTAGAAAAAATTCTTTCACTCAGCACACAAGAAAACTAAAAATATTTTGGGTTCCAAAGACTCCATGTGCCAAACTAAAAGTGAAATGATAGGATGAAAATATAAACATTTTTGGCAACTGATGAACTGTATTACTTAACAAGATACAAATGACACTTTCATAAGCTTTAGAAACTGGTTGTTAATCGTCTTTTTGTATAAAATGAACTAGAAGGAATATCTAGCTATATAGCTTTTTTTCACATGACATAGACTATTTTCCACTTAGTAACAATACTGACCAAGATGTACAACAAACTTTTTTATCAACATTTGCAAATACACCCAATTCTATTTTTTGAGATTTTTGACTTAAAAACAGCATTGCAAAATTCCCTTCTGTTTTTACGCAATTTATTTTTATTTTACTTAATAAAATGAACAGCTCTTTTCCATAAAAAAAGTCCACACGAATGCAATTTAAAAAAAATATTTACAAAAGGGTAAAAGAGTTAGAATTCCCATTTACAATCAAATCTACTGCTAAAATTCTTATGTATTTTTTCTTTAAAAATCCCCTCCCCCAACACACACTTTTTTTTTTTTTTTTAACTCTAAAAAGTCTAAAAATTTCAACTTCTATCTTATAATAGAAAAGGCAAAGGGAAAATAATATGATTGGTGTAAATCCACTTGACTGATCTTACAAGGTCAAAGGCAAAAATAAAAATCTTTTCCCTCTTGTCCTTATGCAACATGAGAGAGACCAAATTTTTCTCCTTCTGGTGTAGTGCACTTAATGGCATCAGATGGATATGCATTTTTTAGCATTAAATTTGGTACAATCTATTACAGTGCAACTCCAATTATCTGAATCGCTTTCAGAGTTTAAGGGAAAAAAATTAAGAGAGAAACATAATGTTGGACAATCAATGATTTCAGACATTAAAGGGAGCAAACCTACACTTTTAAACTTTGTGGTCACTGTTTAAAAACGAAGCTGTAAGTTCTTCAAGAAAATCAATGCAGCAATAAACAAAAATTTAGATGATGTTGTTTCAAGTGGTTTTTGGAGCAAAGTTCTATGGGAAACCCAATTTCAGGTCTGATTTTTTTGTGAAAAAGCTAAGATCTCAGCTTAGAAGCTTATTTGTTCATTCTTAAAAGTAAGGCTAAGAAATTTTAAGTGCAGGCACACTATCAAACAGCTTACTTTGACAGAGATGTTAAGCAAGCTATTAATCTTAGCACTTATAAATACTGTACAGTATGCCATATACTACGTACATAAAAGTGTTGCCTTTTAATTTTAATTAAGTAAAACCACTTAAAAAAAAAAAAAAGTTATTTTCTCCCATTTCCAACATACAGTAATTACAGTGTACATAGATCCTTTCGTCAGAAAAAATCCAATTATCCGAATATGGTTTGGTCCCAAATCATTCGGATAACTGGAGTTCTACTGTATTAATGTTTAACAATGCTCTTACCTCAAACATTAAGTAGAATAAAATTTTGATTAATTTTATGAGTTGATATATTTTGTTAACTTTACTGCTCATTGTTGCACTGAGTTATCTTATTAATCCACCTTTGTTTAATCTTCATTTAATTTTATCACCAAGTCTCAAAATGTATATACAGTCAAAAGTCGTTAATCCGGACTCGTTGGGACTTCGGTGATTCCGGATCATCGATCATCAGTTTAAATCTTGTAAGATGGCATGCAGAAATTACAAAATTAAAAATATGAAACTGTAATTTATGAAATAAAGAACAATTATGATCTAAAGGGTATCAAAATTTACAAAAAGAAGAAGCTTAATATTTATTTGTTTACTTTATTAAACATTTCTTTCAATGTAAGTTGCTTCGTTTCATGTGATAATACTTTCTCTTTAATTCTATTAAACAGACATAATTTCTTGTTTAGTTACAAAGTTCCGCTGTTCAAGTCCTATAATTGCTGTGTTGAGAATACCGACTAATTTGTCAATCGAAATGTTTTCGTTTTCAATAACCTCTGGGTCACTTTCTTCACTATCAGAAGCGAATTATAATGAGGAGGAACTTGATTTAAATCATATCAAAGACGGAGTACATCGAGATGAATTACTACACTTAGTAAGGAATTATAAGCCAAATAAAATAAAAACATCTGCCCTGAAGATAAGGATAGTGCTGACAGATCAACTTCCAATCCCCCACGTGAAATTGATAAACAGATTTCGGATTTCAAAACATACTTTCGCTTTGTAGATACAAATTACATATTAGTAAATATATATCGGAAATTCTATTTGACATAATCGAAAGTTCAAGCTTACTTTTATGAAATTGCTCTAACAGTCTGCAAAAACTAATAAGCCGGATCCAATTCGTAGATTAAGGAACAACGCAATCTGCAACATTAACTGAATTAGATAATTTTAGCTTACCTCTGTTACACATTACACGCGCATGCACACAAACATATTTGCGGCCGTAAGGGTCTTACGTGCACTCCTAAACGCCTGTGCGCATGCGTGAACGCAACGCATGCGCAGAAAGTTTGTAGCTTTGAGGTCCGGATTATGGGTGTCCGAATTAACGACTTTTGACTGTACAACTTTAAAGTTACATTTTTCTATAGTTTTTAATTCTCATGCAAATTGTACCACAGTTTGTTAGAGAATTGGAGGCTTACTGGTTTATCAAATTTCTACTTTAACCCTATTGAGAATTAGAGTACAAAGATCCCAAAATATTTTCAGTATTTTTATGGGAGAGCTTATCATAAAAATAGCCATACAGTAACTACTTGTTTCCTCAGCTTGTAACTGTACACATGCAAGAATGTTTACTGTTCATTCCAGAAATTTTTCGATTTTGCTTTAACATTTTGTTCTTTTTATACAGGTTATTTAAGTATATTTTACATGCATACTTGATGTTATATAAATACTCATATATTACTGCCCAATGTTCATATACATTTTTTTGAAACTTAAAAGCGAGATTTTTTATTCTAGGAGTGTCCAGGCAGAATTATTTTAATTCATAATGGAGGCAGAGAGATGAGATGATGATCATGACTGGATCAATTTTAGAAGTGACAAAAGTATTAGTAATAAAGAAGCAGAAGTTATTCAAGACAATTCTGAAGATTCTTTCAGTATTAAATTTGTTTGGATACATAATTTCACTTGAAAAACAGGTCATATCTCTTAGGAAGAAAAATCAAAATAAGGATTGTTTAATGAAGATGTGCATTTCATTAACAAAATGTCACAAAAGTATATAAATCACACTTAAGGTTTTACATTATTTACTGGCTAGCTTACCATTTTGCTGTACTTTCACCCACAAGGATGAAAATTACATTACTGAGCAGCTTCACTAGCTGCAGTTGCTTTGTGAAATTCAGAAGACCTCAGCCAATAGCACAAGTTGCTTATATTTACCATTTAAATTTGACTGGAACATTTTTACAATGTTTACTCATCAGTAGCAGGTTTCATATGATTGGATAGTTTGTATAACTGTCAGGAAGTCAAGTAAATAAAAAAAAGGTTTACTTTAAACCTCCATCTGATTTGATTTACCATACTTTAAAGAAAGGTCTATAGCTCTAAGAGCTTCTAGTTATAGTAGAGTGGAATTGTATATATACATTATACAATATATATATTATTTTTAGTTAAAGTTGTGCAGCACCATAAAATATATATGTTATTTTTAATGCAGTAATAAAAAAAAAAGTCTTACTTGAAAGTATTAATTTGTTAGATCAAATACATTTAGAAAGTAAATTTAAGCTGCTGATTGAATGTAGAACTGATAAAAATAGTTGCTAATGTAAAAGATGGGGAACTGCATAAAATGACATGCCAGAAAGTGAGAATGAATAAAATTTAATATGCATAACATGTAAGTCATGTCTTTACTAATATTTTTACATTCTTGAATTACAGACATTTTCCTTAATAATTATGTATGTATGCATACATTTAGAAGTCTGTAAAAAAATATATTTTGTATTCAATTTGTACACTTCCGATTACAGCTAAGAGATTACCCTGAAAAAATGCACACAAATCGCAAAAATTAAAAACTACAATTTTGGTTTCCAATTCATTTTAGTTCAATATCCAAAATGGCTTCAAGCTAAGTAACAAATGTTTATTTAAGCTACAGAATGTAAAATCATCTGTACTGTCCTCAATTATTACAGAAAAGAATTAGTTAGTACACCATTGTGGACTTTTTCATTGGTCACCAGTACACAAATCTTGCAAAAATTCCAAATTAAGAGGCAAAAATTTCTATTGTCAGAAAACTGAATTCAAGTAATAAAAATGATTTAAAATCAAGCTGGTTAAAAGCGAAGTTAAGAATTAATTAAGGATTTTTATTTCCAATTCAGTTGGATCTAATCTTTTAATGCAATTATTTTCACTTCTAAATCAAATTTATTGCAAACTAATACCTTTGCACAGTTTTTTAAGAGATAGCTATTGTGGAAAAACAGAATTGGGCATATTTTAAAATTACCACAAAAAAGTATCTTATGAATGATTAAACATCAAGCACAATACTTGTCCACTTTAGAAATATACAAGGTCATGATGATAGTTTAAAAAATACACTGGAACATTCACAATGACTTAAAATTATAATACATTACCTACAATAATAATAATAAAAAGCTATAACATGTACAATCTGAGCTTATCAGGGAATGATTCTGATATGTTTATGAAAAACAGAACCTGCTGGAATGAACTTCAGATCAAATGAACTGTCGTGCCATCTTGTGTCAGGCGGCCAGTACGCAGTAGGTCTTCGTAACTTGGAGGAGGTGCAGTCGGCTCTTGGGGACACATTTCAGATCTGGAACAAATAAAACAGTGATTTTCAAACTGAGTTCCACTGTACCTAGGAGATCCATGCAACTGTTCTATGGGTTCAGTAAGTCAAAATCAAAATTGAAAAGAATTCTTGAATACCACTAAAGACATAAAGAAATTAATATTTGTTTTACATTTGATGAATAATCTGGCACACATTCTTCTGCTTAATTTAGTGGCATTGAGAATTTATTTATTTTGCAATAACTGTGGCATTTTGGTAACTTATCTGTTCATCTACAGTTACAATTTCAAGTTCTGTTTAAGGCAAATTCTGTATACTGTATTTGCCTGCCATTTTTAATTAAATGCATAGTTGCTAAACTGAAGAAAAAGTAGCGAGTTAAATTAATGCATTCAAATAAGGTAATGAAAATCAGAACAGACAAAATGCAAATGATTATTGCAGAGAATGTTCCTTTCACAGACAAAAAAAAAAAAAAAAAAATAAAAAATAAAAATAAATAAAGAAAGAAATATACTAGGGTTACCAAAATGACACTGATTTTGTTTGAATTAAAAGTTCTGATTCCATAAAAATTACTGCCAAGAAAACGTGATCCAGAATAACTGAGAAGTATAATTTTTTCCACATTCTAATTACTACCTAAAATAGTAAAGTAGATCAGTTTTAAATAATATAATAAAATAATGCTTATCTTTTCATTTCTCCATAGAAAGTGTAAAGTACAAAGTCCGAAATCCCGAATGATCTAAAATCCAGTCCTCAAAACCACCAACGTTTTTTCTCATAGGCTTTATGCATGTGCATTTGATATCTCCTCCGCACATAATAAAACATCTGGAGAGTTCCAATTTTTAATTTCACTTCGACATTAAATAAAATATCTTGCTATTGAAAAACAATCATTTCAGCATAAATTTGTAAGATCAGTACTTTGGCTCTGTTGCTGCGTAACTGCTTGGCACACATCTCAAACTGAAACATTCCACATAGATACATCATTGACTTGACGCAAACCTCGCAAATCATTATTTAATATACTTTCCTTTCATCACTGCACGTTTATGAAAGCATGACAACTTGAGTAATGACTCATGTAATGATGCCTAAACAATGTTTTTATGTTAGTAATTGAATTATAAATGAGTATGGTAACCTTTTATGTTGACACTATGCTTGGCGATGATTACAGATTTAAGCTGAATGTGCTAAAAAATGTTGAGGAGGAAAAATTTACCAAAAATTTCTTTCCATTTGCTAAAAAAGAGTTTGTTGATGATACTCGTAGACTCAAAGATTACATTTAGGGCTATTTGATGATTTGTCATTCACATAAACACAAATCCAGCACCAGGGCTCATATGGCTGCACCAAGTCGTAGAATTTAGACAAAGACTGCATCAGGTGATAAAATATCTAGCACCGGCCCTAAATAAGGTTTAAGTATATGTTGGAATTTATTCAGAACTCTGATAAGCCTTAAGCATTTGCAAGAAAAAAATACAATATATAACTAAACTAATACAATTTAGGGTTGTCTCAGTGCGCGATAGCAGCAAGATAAAATTTAACGGAACAACTTGTTGTTAGTCGCCAAGCTTATGATGCATAACCAAATATGTATAGTGAACAATAGCTAAATTTGATGATGACAGCCGCGAGTTTTGAAGGTTTTTGGATATTGAAAACAAAGGTGAAATTTTTCAATTAACGGATTTTTTAAAGAAATGTGGAGAAGTAGTAATAAATGATGATATAAAAGAAGTTTTTCATTGTGATGACAATGCTTCTCAATCATCAATCAATAAATGGCGAAATCTGTAGTATGGTTCTATATCCAGAAAATACTGCTACTGATAGTAAAGAAAGTGACAGAGAAGTTACTGAAAATGAAAAAATTTTGATTGAGAAGTTAGTAGGAATTCTCGGCTCAGCAGTTACAGGACCTTCAACAATGTAACTGAAAAAGAGATTATGTCTGCCTACAGAATTAAAGAGAAAATATTAAAAAAAAAAAAAAAAAAAAAAAAAAAAAAAGAAGAGAAGGAGGGGGGGGGAAGAAATTTTTAATAAAGTAAATTTTGATACCCTTTAGATCATAAATACTTCATTATTTCATAAACCACTATTTCATATTTTTAATTTTATAATTTTTACATGCCATCTAACTAGATTTAAACTGATGATTTAATATCCGGAAAAATCCCAAATCCAGAATCACCGAAGTCCCAATACGTCCGAATTTTGGACTTTGTACTGTACTAAACTATAAATAAGAAAATTACAGGTGAAAGGGGAGGAAGGTATTTTATACTTCAGGAAAAAGTCTGAAATTTGGACTTGTCACAGATCATCAGTTTAAATCTAGTAAGATGATATGTAGAAATTATAAATACAAAATAGTGCTTTATGAAATAATGAAGCATTCATGACCTAAAAGGAATCAAAATTTACAAAAAAAAAAAAAAAAAAAAAAAAAAAAAAAAAAAAAAAAAAAACTCAATATTAATTTGCTTGCTTTAATTAAATGCTAGCAGCTTTGCTGCCAGCCTTCATCTGGCTTTTCAATGTACCGAAAAAATGGCTGAAGGGAACACCAAACGTTAAATTTAAAAACTGTGTAGAATTTTACTCTGCAGAACAAGTTCATAAAAAAAAGTGGTACTTATGTATTAACGCAACCAGGCTAAAATTCGCATAAATCGCCAAATTTGGCGACCCTACTTACGGCAACCCCCCGTGTTATACGTAGTTTTTTGTAAAGAAATTATTTTTCTCACTGGTTAGATTAAATGCCCTGAAATACTTTAACTATGGGTATTTGGGATCTGCCTGCGAGTGAAAAAATGCTAGTGAATTGTTGCAGGGATATGGAATTATACCGAACGAACGTACTCATAAAATGAAACTGTATATTTTGGAAAGCAAATCTTCTGGAAATGTAACGTCGAAGAGTGCAATCAATATTTGGGTGTGAGAACCGGAAATTGGTTTGAAGGTAGCCGAATTTCATTTGTGACAGTGGTGTGCTTCATTTATTGTTGGTGTAAAGAGTTAACCTCAATTAAATTTGGCACAACAAAAAACAGAGAGGAACAGCCCGTCATCATCTTGACTCATACCTTATCGAATTTATATGGCGCTAAGCTCAAGCTGTTAATGGCGAAGATGGTTTTCAATCAGTGCTAAAAGCAATAGCCAAAAGATTTCCTCCGGAAAAATAATTCTGCAACTTATTTAAATTCGAAACAGGAAGGGTTTAATTGCTATTTTATATTTTAAAACAAAATAATATAAAAAACTGTATTAAAAATTATCTGTAATTAATAAATGTACATTTTCTTTCTATTCATACTTTTTTACTCAAACTTACAAATCGTGCCAACCTGGTTGCGATAATACACAAGTACCAAAAAAGTTATTACGTATAACAAAATTACAATGAAATGAGCAATATCCCTTCATACAAATATTAATTATCCTAATAAATAAATTAACCAACTTCCCTTTGCAAAATCTTAAGAACTCAAATGGTATAAAGGAGGTTAAGAACTTTGTTTCCCAAAAAAATCACTCAAAATTTTTTAATATCTTAAAGACAGTGGAAATGAGCAATAAATAACATAAAAGTACTGTAATACAAAAAACAAAAAATTCTGAAAAGTAAAGTATAATTAATGATATTTTATCTTATATTTTTTAAGAGAAAAAAATTGCAATGAAATAAGCTATATCCCTTAATACAAATATTAATTATCCTAATAAAAAATTAACAAATTTTCTGTTAAAAAAAAAAATCATGCAAAACTTTTCAATATCTTACAAACAGTGAACTAAGCAAAAATATAACATGAAAGCAACTCAAAAAACATAAAATTCTGCATGGAATTTTACTCTGCAGAACTTTATTTAAAAAAATGTATTACATATATATAAAAATGACAATGAAATATGCCATTCTCTTAAAAACAGTGAGGTAAGAAATAGGATGAAAAATTGTTGCCAAACGCATATTTCTAAAAGAATGAAACTATTCAAAATGAGATTTCATCAAAAATCTATCAACAACAATAAGACAGGAAAATTGTTGCCAAAATCACATTTTTGAAGATCCGAGATGCGAGAAGTGTACTCGGAAGCTTCATTTAAAACATTTTTTAAAAATACAAAATATTATGATTTTTCCAAAATTCTTTTTGTAAAAGCAGTCGCAAGGATGAAAGATTAACGTGTCCAAAAATCAAAGAAAAATTAACTGTACATTTTTAAAAATAAACTTTTTTAGAAAAAAACCCCGTTGAAAATGTGTTAAGCTCCCTTTGTTAAATTAATTCGTACTTACTTGATTTATTGAAACACAAATTTTATTTTAAGCTCGTAAAATAGCTAAGCGCTTACATTTCATGATGATGTGAAAATGGAGTATATAGAATAAAATCTTGCTTTCCTATAGCCCATTATGTCCCAAAATGATGCGATTTCGTCACATAACATAAAATTAAAAAAAAATTCTAATTCGAATTTCGAAAAAATCATTTCGAGGTGCACTGGCTCTTGTTTAGATGCACCTATGTACCAAATTTCGTATCCGTGGGTCTATTAGCTTACGCGCAGCAAGAACGAAAGACACACACAGAATCTTTCTTTTATTTTACGTACACATTTTTCTGTCAGAATAACCTGTTTAATTTGCTTCATTTTTTTGTGTTGATAGTTTCTCTTTAATTTTATAAATAGATATAATTTCTTGTTTAATTACAATGTTCAAATTGTTCAAGTTCTGCAACTGCTGCATCAAGAAATTCTCACTTAACAACTGAAACGTTTTCGGTTACAACATTTACTCTCACTTGTTCACTATCGATCACCTTATTTTTTGTAAAGCTTAGCTAGTGTCCACTACACACTGTTGGCAACATTATCATAAAACTGGTGACTAAAGAACTGTTCTGCTAAATTCCAGCTTGTTTCTACTGCATATTGATGATGTTAAGCCTGAATTATATTAGTTTAGTTATTTATTATACTTACAACTATTTCAAGCATATGCTTAAGGCTTCTCTGAGTCCAACAATTAATAAATTCTAACATATCCAGGATCAGTGCTAGCTACTTTGCAGTCCGGTGCAGTCTCTCTGGGTTTGAAATTCTGCTGGATCTAAATTTTTTTACTTGGTACATCTCCAAATTCTAAAAATTTTACATCTCCTAAGTTCTGTCAACTGGTTCAGCTACATCAGCTCCTCAAGCTGCAATGTGTTCGTAGTCATACAGTGTGGAAACCAAAAATACTAAATAACGGTTCACTAGGTTGGCATCGGAGTTCAAGTGAAATTAAGATTTGGCACTCTCCACATTTTTTACGATGAAAAATGTCAAAATCAATGCAAGTGGTAGGTATTAAAAAAATTTCTTATATTATATATATATATATATATATATATATAAAACGAAAGCTTTCAGACTTTATATCACACCCAAAGGGGAATTTTTTAATGTTTTGCGTGTTACCTTTACTTATTAAATATCATGTTCTTCGGACTTAAACCATAAAATTCAATTCAACAGCAATATCATAAAACATTTTAAAAAGCATATCTTTAGAATTTCCAATACACAATTTCACGTGCTGGAGATAAAAATATCCCCCCCTCCCCGTACTGTGTTGTCATTGCTCGCTTTGAAATCGGTGACTTTGTTAATAAAACATTCCAATTCTTTAATGTTTGTCACAATATGAAATAGATATTAAAACAAATTCCAAATTAGGGCTTCTAGATTCCCATATTCATTGGAGGATTATGTTATTCATAATTCGATGGATCTAGTGCTGTTGTTTTAACACAATGTGAGAAACATACATACATTTATACAGATTCTGGATTATTTAATTTCTTTAAATATAACACACGGTGATAATATTTGGTGGCAACAATGTGAAAAGTGAAATGGATATTTAAAGTTTTCGACAAAAAATGCCGAAGCAAAATTAATAGCCTTTCTGAATTAAAGCCTTTTGGGCTTTAATAAATTGTGCATTACCTTTATTTATTAAATATCATATTCTTTGCACTTAAACCATAAAATTCAATTCCACAGCAATATGAAAAAATTTTAAAATAAGCATATCTTTAGAATTTCTAATACGCAGTCTCACGCCCTGAAGATAAAAATGTTTTTTCTGTACAATGTTGCCACTGCTCGCTTTGAAATCCTTGAGTTTGTTAAAAAAAAACTTGTTAAAGTTTTACAAAATATAAAATCAATAAAACAAATTCCAATTTAGGGCTCCCAGATGCCCATATTCAGTGGAGGATTACATTATTCAAAATTTGATGTGTCTAGGTACCCTTTTTTAACACAATGGGAGAAACATACATACATTTAGAAGATTCTTCAACATTTAATTTCTTTAAATATAATACAGGGGGATATTCGATGGCAACAATCTGAAAAGTGAAATCCACATTTAAAGTTTTCGACACACAATTCCAAAACAAAATTAATAGTCCCTCTGTAGGGGGGAGGTAATAGGGCTAAAAAAAAAAGTTGCAATTGATTCAGAGGTTTGGACTTTTTATCATTCTGGGTATTGGACATTCAGATTTCAAACTTTGTACAATACTTTTGTAACATATTAATTGATACTCAAATTTACGTCATCTCTAAAGATAAATCATTAAATGGGACACAAAAATCGTTCACTTTCAAAGAATGTATAACAATTTTCTATTCTCCATTATTTAAAAATAAATTCTGTAGTTCCATTATTATTCTGTTATACACTGACTACCAATAAGTATTTGGACACCTGTGATAGAAAAGAAAAACTAACTTTATTCAAAATCAATAGTTGGTAGAGCCTCCACGAGAGGTAATTACAGCGTGGACCCTCCGGGGCATACTTTCCACAAGTCTTTGTATGACAGCTAGTGGTATTTTCTTCCACTTGGCTTGGAGAAGACATAAAAGTTTCTTCACCGATTTTGAATGAGTAGTGCATCCCTGAATTCAGCGATGGAATTCGTCCCAGAGGTTCTCGATAGGGTTCAGGTCTGGACTCTGGGCAGGCCAGTCCATTCTATGAACTCCATTGGCACCATACCAAGCCTTGGTTAACGTCGAAACATGACAACTGGCATTGTCGTCTTGAAAGTAACAGGGGTCCAACCCGTAAAACTGCCACATCATAGGAAGCATATTGTCATCCAAAATAGTGCAGTACGCATCGGAGTTGAGCTTACCATGAATGGGGACCAAGGGTACGAGCCCATACCAGGAAAAACACCCCCAGACCATAATTCCACCTCTGCCGAACTTGACTGTTGGCACAATGCATTCTGGCACGAGACGTTCTCCAAGTAGACGCCAGACTCAGACCCTGCCATCCGAATGGTAAAGGGTGAATCTTGATTCGTCACTCCAAAGAACCTGTTTCCACTGATCTACGGTCCAATTTCAATGTGCTTGGCACCACATTAACCGAGCAGTGCGGTTGGACTTTGTGATCAAAGGCTCATGGGCAGCAGCAGACCATGAAAACCAAGCAGATGTGCTTCCTTACGGATGGTATTCATTGAAACAATACTCCCGGATGCCTGTTGAAACTCCTCGCGGATGAGGACCAACGGTTGGGTGCAGTTCTTCCGAATTTCTCTGGACATCACTCGTCGGTCTCTATCTCCCAGTTTCGTTGGTCTGTCAACTCGGGACACATTCCGACAATCACCACTCACCTTCCAGTTCTTAATCATATAGGCCACTGTCGATTTTGGGTACTTCAGATCGCTAGATATGTTGTCCCTTAAGGATCGGCCACATTTGTGATACCCAATAATTATACCTTTCTCGAAATCAGAAACTCCGAACTGCGAGGCATCTTGCATGCTACTAAAGCCGATGCTGTTTCCTACACGATATATACCGGCGGAGTCCGCGATGTACCTTAGGACCGCAGATATCATCATTTGCATAAGTGTCCAAATACTTATTGGTAGCCAGTGTATTCCTCCTTTTATCATTTTCCATGTCTACCACAACCTTTCACTTTTATTACAATCAAAATATAATATTTTAGTACTTTCTGATAATTCAAGATCCGATACTTTATTAACTATTCATCATTAATTTAATTTATTATGTTGACTGATACTTTTCATTGTTCTTGAGGGCCTTTCACAAGGTTCTGGTATTTCTATTTCAAAAATGAAGTCCTGATTTAACCAAGATAAGATCCCCCTTTAGGTTAATTAATCCCAAATGGATAATGGCCTGTTTCTCAAAAATACTTCTCACTGGACTACCAGTACACAAAAAAATCTGAAAATGTACTTGGCTTGGGCAGTTTCTGGTAATAAACTCAATTACACATTGCAGACATAGGACTGGATTATCCGCTTAGGGTCCATCAGTTTTGATCTGATGGTTCCATGTGCATCTATCCTACAGACCATCTCTGCTTCTCATTTATCATCACAATTACTTGAGTATAAAATATTAAAAATTACTGTCAAAAATAATAAATATTTACCTTACATTTGCTTTTTGGGGTCCTAATGTATTGAGGAGAGGTCTGTGCACTTGTCCCAGTGGAGGAGACTTTTGATACATTCCTTTGGCATGTCTATGATGCATAACCATTGATCCTGACCTATGGTATGGCACCCCATGATGAAAGCGAGTCTGAGAAGATTCAGTAGGCGATTGTGCAAAAACCCCTTGTTGCACTGGGAAATCTTGAAAAGGAGTTTGTGCTACATTCTGCGAATGTATGTGGTAGTGCTTATAATGATACTGTTGGACTTCAGCAGAAGGTACAGTCTGAGTGGTTGAAAGCAGAGGATTACTGAGAGGATCATAACGAACAACAGCACTAGAAGGCGCAGATGAAGGAGGTCCCTGAGGAGGACGAGTGGCACGGTATGCCCTTGAACGTTTCTTTTGTTTGCGCCGGACACAGCACTGTATTGTCAGTAACACAGTGTTGACAGCACCAAGAAGGACACCTATGTACACAAGCACCAGAAGCTCTCCATTTTGAACATGCATGACAGCGCCCGCTATGACGAGCGCAACTCCTGTCATGATGGCCAATATAAAAATTGCTTGTTGGAAATAGTAGCAAACTTCGTGGATATTGCATTCTGTAGAGGAAGCAGATGATGCTCCTGAAACTGCTGATGGTGGAATGCGATCTGTATGGGCAGAAGTTGCTCCACTTCGACTAGAAGCAGCAGTGCTGTGCAATCTTTGTTGATGCTGCTGCCGAACTTGTTGCCCATAATGGGGACGTGGTGCAAACGGAGGTGCAGCAGAAGTGCCAGCAATGCTCGTGCCACTATAACTACCGGTGTTAGTATGTTGAGAGAAAACACTATGAGCTGGAGGCACCGCGAGTCTCTCGCGGTCCACATCAGACATCCTCTACCCTGTCAAATATACATTTACAAAGCTAAATCAGAAAACAAAATTTAAAAAGCACAAGGCAGATATTTTACAACATAATAAAGCAAAACAAATATACATGAAAGAGGTAATGGAAAAGTTCTGTTCTAAGGACTGTACGGTTCCCAACAGGTTCACAAATATTTTTTATGTTATCCATCTAAAATAGTCTTCTTATATAGCCAATAATAGTCCCTCTTTCTATTTATCCCAAGACTAGAGAACAATTTCCTTACAGGCACTGATCCACTAGTACTCAAGGTCATTGAATACTGGGAGTTCGATCCCAGGTGATTGTGTTGGTTCTCTTCATGTGTAATGTGAATATGAACCAGTTTTCCTTAAAAGTCATCAATGAATAATTAATACAACAAAAATAACACTCCCCCTCCTCCAAGCAGATAGCCCTCATGTGCTTTGTTTTATTTAAATAATCTCTGCTCTTATAGGGATTTTTAAAAGGATAAGTGACATACACCAGATATTTATAAATTTACGGAAAGAAAAATTTTTTACTTATTTAAAATTTTGATAAAAATATATTTACGGGTGCCCCTTGGAGAAAATTGGTGATACACATCGACCTGTTTTCACTTAAAGAAACATCAGAAAATTGCATAATCACGACATTGTGCACTCCCTTGAATTGTCCATGTACATATCAATCTATTTTCACTTAAAAAGTGAAAGGAGCACCTAATTTTACACTACAACCAAACAAAAAATATATAATTTCAATAAACTATATTTTAAATCAAACAATAAAATAACATAAAAAAGGAAACTCATCTTGTACCATCTAAGCACTACACAAAGGAAATATCCACTTACCTTCTTTAGAAATTTCAGTGTCTTCAGTCCGTGGCATACAAAATTGATTAACGACATTGAAAACTTTCCTCAAAACATGTTTCCTTTCTAATGGAACACTTTATATGGTGAGTATTAGAGCCTTTCTGATAAACCCATCTGAAAGATCTTTACGTTCAAACATAATTTTCCTTTGTACAAACAGGACACTTATAAGTCCGCTGAATTACATCCAACATAACAGTTTCCTTTCTTTTGTCCTCAACCAATTAAAAACAAAAACACCTTCCGCCCTCTTGTTCTATACCATAAAGCTCCCACTTTTCCACCAGCAGTCACTTCACGACGTATTTCCTAACTGACATACAACAAATATTTTCCCATCAGTCAAATTCATGGCAATCACACAATAAATCATGTCATAATAGGGCTTCCATAGCATTCAACTACTCAGATTACCATAAATGAAACAACAGCTTGGTGATTAATGAAACAACAATTTTGTGATAATCCAAGGGGCACCCTTAAATATACCTTTACTTATTTAAGTACTTATATTGTGTTAATTCTTGTATGTAATTAAAAGTTATTGAAATATATAACATATTGTGAGCTTTATTAAATACTTATAGTGATAAAAACAACAACTAGCAGGTAACACTTAAACCTTAATATTCAGTATATTTTAGCAATAATTGATAATTTTAATATACATATTTTTAAAGGTTTTAAAAGAAGAAAAAATTCACAGTTCCAGCCAAAAAATATCAAAGAAAAGTTGTTTGTTATATACAGCGATACTTCCCAAAACAAACATTTCTCCACAAATTTTCAAACAGGCAATTTTTTGAGGATTTCTTATATTTTAGAAGTCATAAACTAACTACAGTATTATTCAGTACCTTTCTAAGATGACCAAAATCACCTGGAACCACAGTACGCTGCTAAAATGTAAACCATCATAGACATGGCTACTAGACAATTTTGGGTCAATTCCTATATAGTTGTTACAAATCAAGCACAAAAACTAAATAAAACTACTGTTATTACTTTATTATTTTACATACATAAATAACATCTCTGTATAATTTTAACTGAACAGAAAGAAGTTGTATGCTCTGCTTTAGATAACCCCAATATTTAATAATTTACCATTAATCTTGAGACAATTAAAAAATGATAATAATTGTGTTTATGGATTAGTTAATAAACAAAATTTAACCTCATTATTTAATTGGAGAAGTGCAGAATCACCCACTGCTTGGCACGTATTTAAGAATTGCACATATTCGATATCCTTGTACACATCGACCATTTTCACTTAAAAAAATTATACCAGAATTGCACAAAAATGGCATTGCGCACTTCCTTGACTTTATCCATGTACACCTTGACCTATTTTCACTTAAAAAGTAAAAAAATATTGACAAAAATTCAATTCTTACTCTTGTAAAAAGCGCCAAACAAATAAATGAGCGATTCTGCGCTTTATCCATTTAATTTTACCTGAAACAGAAAGGTATTGCGTGTTAAGGCAGATTAACAATAATTTCACAGATCACTTCGGATCATATATGTGAAATAGCATTTCTTTCTTTTCTCACTTGTATAGATAAGGAAGCATGTACCTGGCCAACAGAAGAAATACAGCCCAATATCTGGTTTGCCTGCTGTTCTATTTAATAAGAAAAATGTTAACTGAATTGAAACTAATTACTTTTTGAAATATAGTTCGGCTTTTTAGTATAATTTGTTGTTTAGTAAAACCTGGCTTTATTTACACTAACTACAGAGATTTATATGTAACTCTAGAAGTATTACAAAATAACTTAAACTCTACAAATATTGCAAAACATCATATTTGTTCATTTTTGCGTTAACACAGATGATTTAAGCTTTCTTCCTTAATTGCTGCTCAGCTCAGTAATACCTTAAGTTAAAATTCTCTTGATTAATTATTTATTTTTTGTGCAACAACTAAAAACTTAATACGTTCACTTTACTAAAAACAAATTTAAATTGATTTTCACCGAGGAATTTATTCTATGCTACTTACACAAAAAAATACAGTAATATTGCAAAACATGATTAAGAAGTTTAAAATTAAGTTTTATTTACATAACTATCAGTATTTTATTTTATTCCCAGAAATCTACAACAGGTAGCAAAAGCAGAATTGGCTATGGATACGGCTCGAGATCTAAATGCTACAAACTGAAAAATAAAAAATTCAAAATTGAATTTTAAATATCAAATACCTAATAAAAGTAACATATATATTGTAATAACATCCAGACAAGTATTCGATAATTAGCACTGTATGGGTGTAAATTCATACTGAATTATTGGCGTAAAATGCCTCAGAATAGGTTTCACAAAAATAATTACCTCAGTAATGCACAACTCATTTTTTTCAACAAAATCAATCACACTTGAAAACTACAATTGCTAGAGCACGACCATCAAATACTAAGGCAGCAGAAAACCATTCCCACTTAATTTCGAGTCCGTAAGCGCCATGTTTGGATATTGAAATTCAACGTTGCCATTCTTATTTTGAGCAATCAGTCAAAAACTATTACTGATCGTGTCCATGGGAGTAAAGCCGGAAATCTCCTAAGCACTTTCTTTCTACCTCCAGATTAACAAAAAACGTAGTTATGGTTTCTTTATCGAAATCATGTTAACTGTTTTTTAGAAAGACATTAGCAGTACAGTAGGAATTTATATAATGATTAACGACGAAAAATTTAAATAAGAGCGGAGTCACTTCAGTGCAAAATTCAAAATTAGGTGAAGAAACAATCTTAGTTTAGCGTAGATTTCAGGGGCGTAGCTAGAGGGGGGGCAAGGGGGCATCTGTTCCCGGGCGCAGAATCCAAGGGGCGCCAAACTGATGTTACGACATTTTAGAATTAAATGTTTTCCATCCTTGGCAAGCAGTAGGGGGCGCGAAATCTTCAGTTGTCCCTGGGCGCTGAAAACCCTAGCTACGACTCTGGTAGATTTGAATTATTGTGTTTGTGTGCTAGTTTCAAAGATGAACAGAACTCTACTTCAAGAATAAAATATAGTTTGCAGAAATTTTAGGAGGAACGATAATCATTTTAGTATACTGAAAGCAACAAATTGAGCAAAGCGAAAACGAACGTAGAATCATTTCTCGAGAAAATGAGTAATAAAATGTGAAATATTAAGATATTAGAATTAAAATTCTAAAAAAGTTAGGACTGGATTGAAATTAATGTCATTAAATAAACCAGATAAAGTCTGCAAATGAGTAAAGTTTAAAGGAAATCCAATTGATAACTAGAGGAGCTTTATGGATAGTTTTTGCTGAGTCTCCAACTACGATGAGCTATCGAAGATATTTTCCTTTATTTTCTTCAACCATAAGATTTTGTTTTCTGATGGTGAATTTGAGCTCACGATTAGTTTCGACAATATATGCCAAGCCTCACAGATGATATGTTATAAATTTCGTAGGAATTAAAATCAGAGGTGGAATTTTTAAGAATCGAATAACGAATTTTATTTATAGCTGAGAAAATGACCAGAAACCTGAAACAGTGGAGCATCCGAGAAATTTTATCATTTAGAGAAAATAAAAACTTGTCTAACTTTCGAACTCTGCAGAACCAGTTATCAACCTATCTTTACTTTCCAATTTTGATGATATTTAAACAGAAGATGAAAGGGCTACAGCCATACAAGAAACTGAAGCTTTAGTTTATAAATAGAACACAATTACCACTTTCTTAAATAAAAATAATAAGCTCTCATAAATATTAAGTCATAGCAGTGCTTTGAATCAAGGCTAAGGCTTCTATAGAGGAGCCTTGAATCAAGGCCAACTAGATGTCTATAAACTTGCTCCAATCTAATGATCACATAATCTGACCTCACGGTCATAGGCTGGAATTTTTGTTAGTAAAGCTTGCTTTACCGTAGGACTAATGTTTATGAGATATTTGTTACTTGTGTTCAGGGGCGTAGCTAAAGCGGGGCAAGGGGGGACATTTGTCCCCAGGCGCAGCTTCCAATGAGCACCAAACTGTTTCTAAAATTAAATGTTTTCAACTCGTGGCAAACAGAGGGGGGGGCGAGATCTTCAGTTGCCCCCGTGCGCTGAGAACCCTAGCTACAGCTCTGCTTGTGTTTTTTTGTTCTGAAGTATTTTATACTTTACCTTACTAAGGTAAAATGTTATATTGTGAACTCAAATTTATTTGAAAAATGTGTGTTTAAGAATGCCGAGAAAGCGTAGTGTACCTAAATGCCGAACAACTAATGAAGGTATTTGTAAACGTGTGTCCATTTTAAAATTTCTTTCGGATCTTGTACTTTTTCAGAAATGGGTGAAAAGCATAAGCCGAGAAGATTCTGCATATTTTGTAAATTACTGAACAGTAATGTGTGCATTAAACATTTCGAGGAAGAATTTATGATTCGAGAAAATAAAGCTGTTCGCGATGATGGAACGCTGTTAGTAGTTCCACGACCTTAGCCAACTTTAAAAAAAGAAACTTACGATATTTCAAAAGCAATATATTAAAGAAACTTCCCACAGAAAGTAAAACACCGGAAGAAAGAGAAGCTGAAATTGATGCTTTTTGTGATAAATAGTTTGAGCAATGGAAAAAAATAATGCTATTACCGACTTCGAAAACCAAATACAGTACAAAGTCCGTAATCCGGACTCGTCGGGACTTCGGCGACACCGGATTAGGGTATTTTCCGGATTTTAGATCATCAATTTAAATCTGATAAGATGGAATGCAGAAATTATGCAATTAAAAATCCGAAACCGTAATTTATGAAATAAAGAGCAATTATGATCTAAAGGGTATCAAAATTTACAAAAAAAGCTTCATATTTATTTCTTTACTTTATTAAACATTTCTTTCAATGTAAGTTGTTTAAGTTGCTTCGTTTTTTTGAGCTAATACTTTCTCTTTAATTCTATAAACAGACAAAATTTCTTGTTCAGTTACAAAGTTCGACTGTTTAAGTCCTGTAATTGCTGTGTCAAGAATGCCGACTAACTTGTCAATCGAAATTTTTTCGTTTTCAATAGCCTCTCTGTCACTTTCTTCACTATCGGAAGCGGTATTTTCTGGATCTAGAACCATACTACAGATTTCGCCGTCCGTTAATTGATTGGTGATTGGGGCTTTGTCGTCGCAATGAAAAACTTCTGTTTTATCATCTTCATTTATTACCGCTTCTCCACATTTCTTTACAAAATCCAATAACTGGAAAATTTCACCTTCAGTTTGCGATGTTCGAATACCTTCAAATTCGCGGCTATCATCTTTATCGTCCTCACCATGAAATATCGTAGCTGGCCATAAATTATGCCAAGCATTTTTTAACGTATCTGGAGACACATCCTCCCACGATCTTGCGATGCTCCACACAGCAGAATTTATGCTAAAAAATTTCAAAAAGTCTTGAATAGTCTTGCGGTCTTGAATAGTCTTGCGGTAATCAATTAACGGTTAAAGAAATTTAACATAGATTTTAAAAATGCTACATCCATAGGCTGAATGATAGACATAAAATTTGGAGGGAAGAATAATGCGGATACATTATCTTTCACTAAAATTTTAAGTGAAGTATGCGCTGAACAATTGCCAACAATCAGGACTATTTTTGAGTCATCAGGTAAACCAACAGAATTCGAATGTCGCCGAGCCTCGGGTATAAAATGATTTTCAAACCAATCATTCATCAACGCTTGTGTCATCCATGCTCTTTTATTTGCGCAATATATAACGGGGAAAATCTTTACTCCTTTTAATGCTGGAGGTCGTGCATGTTTTCTGATTACGAAAAGTTTGTACTTGTGCGTTCCTGCAGCATTTGCGCACGCTAAAATTGTTAGTCTTGCTTTGGAATCTTTGACACCAGTTGAAGCCTTTTCTGTAGAGGTTGCCAAGGTATTTCGCGGTACATATTGCCAGAAAAGATCAGTTTCAACAGCGTTGTAAATTTGTTCTAGATAATTGTTCACTAGTAATGAGTTCAATGAATTCATCTGCAAATTGTTTAGAAGCTTCAATATCAGCTGAAGCCTTTTCACCTGAAATTTTTGCCTTATACCATGGTGATTTTTAAATTTGGTTAACCAACCTGTAATATGTGTACTCAGTGTTTATTTCTTCATGAAATATTTTTGCTTGGGCCATTAGCATTGGACCCGTCAATGGCACGCCCTCGCTGCGACACTGTCTGACCCATTCAATCATCACTTTGCCATGATCGTCACTTTTAGTATAACGAACCCTTTTCTGCTATTCATTGCAAGTGGGGTGTCGGAATCCACAGAAAATTCAAAAAGTTCATTTATCTTTTTGCTAATGTCATATACAGTTCACTTTCCAATGTCATACTCCTCGCATTATTTTGAGACGGATATGCCTTTATCCATTTTTTTGCAGCAGTTCCACTTTTTTTTATGGACATAGAAACATGCTTTCGCTTTGTAAATCCTTTGGCTTTGTAAATCCTTTGTAAATCCTTTCGCTTTGTAAATCCTTTGGCAGCTCCAGAAATGGAAACTCTTTTTGACATAATCCAAAGTTCAAGCTTCATTTTTATAAAATTACAGACTTTGTACTGCATATGGTTTAAAAAAAAGTATCTTGCCTTTCCATGGACATTCATAACAAAAGGTAAGATCTTTTGATTATCGAAATTAGAATTTGTAAACTGTCCAAAAGTTCTTGTATCTTTAAAAATATTGGATGATTCAAACACAGAATTTTTTTCTCCAAAGAAAATGAAATTCCTGTTAAAAAGTTCAAGTAGATATTTGGACAAGAATTACTATGTGATAGGTGGCCTAACTTGAAACAATGATTAATTCTTTAGATGGTTTTTCTCTTTCTGATGATCATGATGACCACAGTTTAAAATTAGATAAAATATCAAAACTACTGTTGAAATATACACAAGCAGAAAATAAACCAGATTATGAGAAATTTAAATTTTCATATGAACAAATTCACTTAATTCAAATGAAGCAGCCTTCCTATAGTACAAAATTTCTTGTTTGAGCATGATATATTTTATTGTAATTGCTAGAAAATTATACGCAACATTAAAAGTTTCATATTATCTCATCCTTCATATTTAAGAATGTTAACTTTGAAAACTGGCCGAGTAGATTCTGTGTTTATAAACAAGTCACTGGATTTATTTAAAGAAAAAATGTGAAATTTTAAATGATTATATAAAGCTTGTGAGCTTATTATTAGAAGAAATACATATAAAATTACAAATTTTATATAAAAGTGATCGAGTTTTAAGTTTCTCAGATAACTCTCAGATGGAGGCAACAACTCTGCAGACCTCTATAATAATCCATAATAAATTCCATATTACCGTAAAGCAGAGATATTTGTAACAATGTTTCATTTCGTGTTAAGAACTTATCGTCACATCAACTATTAATGTTTACGAAACAAGTAACTGATCATGAGCACTCTTGTGGCTGTTGAATTATAACTCTAATAACGGA